ACGACAAAGGAAGGCGGGGCACATCCGCAAGTGGATAGTGCAAACAATGACTCAACGTAGGTCAGTATGTCAACACCCGAACAGAAATCCGGCATATTTGATCGCAAAGCAATTAACCGCAACCGGCCCCCTCACTGCGTTAGTGGTCTTATTCATCATCATCATCATCATCATCACAACAGCCATGAGCTTGACAAAAATGTACTGCGACTCGGGCCGCCGCTCGCTTCAACAGTGACGTGGAATACCTTGAAAGAAAACGTTACTAAGAAGATTGCAAATTATTAAAAAAAGACTAAGCGGAAGAACTAAAAAGTTATGGATACAAGCATGCCATTGACTGCGACACATCGCCATCTCGGGTAGCGGTTTGAGTCATCACGAGGACCTAATCCAGGCAGGCGACACCTGCCCACTTTGCTCAATGGAGCAGTCAAGATCTTCATATTTCGTGACCACGTTGTTGGTTGACCACCAAGCGGATTTATCGAACTGTTTGTAGTTTCACCATATAATGCCCGGTACGATAAACGATCAGATGACATACGGAGTACGTGACCCAACCAACGCAAGCTGTGTACCGTAATTAACTGACCAATTGACCGCGCATCCCGAGCTTTCTGAAATACGCGCCGGCGAACTGCCACATTGCTCACGCGATCAGTCCATTTAATATGGACCAATTGGCGGAGAACACGATGGTCAAGCACAGCAATCCTGTTGACATCTCCCTTGCGAACAGGCCACGTTTCCGAACTATACAGCAAAATTGAACGCACACAGGCATTATATACCCTTCCTTTCAACGACAACCGAATGTCTTAGCTTCGGTGATTTGTTCCAAGTTTTCGTTACGATTACTCACCTGACTCGAACTGGGCAACTTCTTCACCAACGTCTTCCGGTGAGCGTTCTTTACATCCTCATCGCTCGAATGTCAATTAAGCACCTTGCATTTACGAGCGTATGCCACAAAATATGAAGACCTTGACTGCTCCATTGAGCAAAGTAGGTAGGTGTCGCCTGCCTGGATGGGGTCCTCGTGATCACTCCAACCGCTGATTAGAGACGCTATCCGAGATGGCGATGTGTAGCAGTCAATAGCGGACCTGTATCCATATTATTTCTGGTTCTTCCACTTAGCCTTGTTTTAATAAGTTTCAATCTTCTTAGTAACGTTTTCTTCTTTGATATTCTACGTCACTGTTGAGGTGAGCGGCTGCCCGAGCCACAGTCAGGCTCATGGCCGTTGTGATGATGATGATGATGTCTTCTGGGCAAACGACAAAACAAAATGGGCACGCACAACAGCGTGGTCCGAGTCCAGGTGGTTGCTCCAAAAGACACGACAGTCCTCAACAGAGTGGCTTGTGTGTAATGATAGGGTTACCCTGTCGCTTGGATAAGCGATACATTAACTGGTCTGTTAACCATATTGATACCCATCAGAAATCAAAATGCCGCTCAACAAGTAAATCATTTCTGTGATTTCAACTTAGATAAAAGTCCCGGTCGATATATTGTGTCTCCTCTCGAGTCGACCGAACAAGCTGGTCACAACTCACAAACGAATGTGATTGAATCTTCATATATGATAATTCGGTCGTGCCTAATGTGACGTCAATGGCGCAGTGGTAAACACGGTTGCCTCATGAACAGCATGTCCGTGGTTCAAGTCCTGGCAGTGGCGATGATATGCACTACTGACGAGCTCTAATGAGAGCCAAACTCGAGTCTAGTGCTTCTTTTCGAAAGGGGCCGACTGGAAAGTCTATGGGGATGCGACAGCTGCGATCAATTGTGAGTGATGTTCAACTTGAAATGTTAGTTGTTCGGTCAACTCGTCTCGAGTCTGTTTCTTATTGGTGCAACTGCTAAATTCCACATAATAAACCATTCATCTTCTATATTGGCAACACATTCTGTCCTATCCACACCTTACATTGTACTGCGTTGTTTACAGTGCTTAGTGTTCATGTGGCGCAACTTATTATTGTGTAGTCGAAATTTTTACGATCAATCGAAATTGAGATTGGTTATAGTTATCACACTTACTATTGTTTTGGACTGTACCGTACTAGACTATTGCCTTCACTGTTGTTTCCAAGTACTATTATTTAGACGGATCGATTTACTAACGTCATTCAAATTACATGTCGTTAGCTGTACGTTCCATCGACACCGACCTTTTGCTGGTAACTTGTTGTGAGACTTGGTGATATGAATCAGACGTTACCGATTGATTCCGAGATGGTACTCAGTCAACTATGTAGCGGGATATTTGTTCCTTTACTTCAACTCTAGTGATTGTCTTCACAGCATTAAAGACACAGCTGTATCATGTGAATACTAGTCAGTATATCCAGTGCATTATAATTTCTTGCGCCGTCTTGTTAGATATACTCGGGGGCTTATACTCGTCTAATGAAGCACTGAGGACGGAGTCTGCTCGAACTACCCAGTTTGGACTATAAGTAGGGTTTGCATAAGAGTGTGAAATGGAAAATTCAGTCAGACAGTTTTACGCTTGATGTGAGATTACCGGTGAAACCTTCAGCAGAAATATGAGTGATGGCGTACACGGCATCTTTTTACGATTCAATGGGCTTTGTTTAGTCCAAGCTTTCACCCACTGGAAATCTGCTACGGGAACTGTGCGTTACTGGTATCGGTCAGGGTAAAGATATAGAGGAAATGTGTGGAATGCGCTGAAATATATGGCTAACCGGAAGTAACTTGGCAAAAGTGATTGAAATGTGAGGTTCAACTTCAGGTGCTTTTTGGTGCACCTGACGTTGGCTAGGGCATTGTGGGGTAACTGAACCAACAGTCTGCTATCGATGCATACCTCTGCCACTTCATTAGGTGGAAGTCTATTGTACCTCAACGTATGAGCAAAATAATATCCAGGTTGAAACTAGTCGCAACAGTGATGTCGATAAAATTCATGCGTCGTAGTATAGGTAATATAAAGTGTCAATATAAAGACCCTTACAGTGGACGGACCCAAGCATTGCATGGCAAAAAATCAAAATCACATCGGCCTGCATCGCCACATTTGTCGCTAACCGTGTTCAGTTTATCCGAACTCGGACACATTGGACATGAGGGTTGTCACTGGCACTTTTGACTCAATAGAAAGATGTGAACCACGTTTTGTTAAGAGACTGGTCGTTTTAGTGGTGGTTGCCAGGAGTGCAAACACGTTCAAAACTATTACGACCAGACTAATCGTTGTCAGCGCACAACGACGCATCCTTGGTTACAAATCACGAGAGCTATCGGCATGAGAGACGCGTGTCAACAATTGTTGGACAATTCAAGAGCTGTCTACTTCGTGTTCGCATTAGATTTTCTACAATGAATCCGCCGGAATGCGGAATCGAAATACAACAATTTTCTGAAACTACTCAGTGGTGTGAAGCAAACATTGATGCTACAATAAGCCACTAATTGCAGTTCGTTCTGTAGGCTCAATCAGACTAAGCCCAGACGTTCGAAATTCTCACCCCAAGTCACTGAGTGATCGTAAATCCCTAAATCCGTGAACATAAATATAAGTCATAAGTGTACTGTCGTCCTCATTGTTCATTCTCTTAAAACTACTGATTACTATACCAGTGTACTTCATGATTTGAACCGTTGACATTTTGTGGCCGATACATCCGAGCTTTCTTGTCCTCTGGTGTTATTTGTTAATAGGCTATCTCAGCCTGCTTATTCAGCACTCCGACCGGTACGTATGGTTCTATTTGTGTCACTTTTGACTCAATACATAACTCATCGTGTCTTATTTACCTGACACACCTTTCGTAAATCAACTTCCGAAAGATATCAGGTTCTATTCATATTTTTCAAAACATTGCTGCACAATCAGAACTCGATACTACTGGTCTTCACTGAAGCTATGTTGTTTAGAACTCGTCAACTGACGCACAAAAGTAGTCCAAGCAACTTAATGAGCTGCCTTGGTGTTGATAACAATAAATGGTGTGAATCTACGCATATCTATTCTATTTGTCTGTCGTACAGAATCTGCATGTTTCACGCTTGTGATAAATGATAAATTTGTAAAAGAAATCCCAGCTGTTCGAGTCGCTAGAAGTATTACGAGTAAAGTGGTAGGAAGACGGTGACTCAGGAACTCGAAATTCGAGGTGGCCGGCTGGGACTCCGAAACGGTATTCAGTACGTCACCGTCGACTCTTCAGGAGTGTTTTAACCTTACCTGTCACACGATATCTTTTTAATTGACGATATTTACTCTGATTTATCCATTTCCACGTCGTTCAATTTAATCGTTCACAATACTGCATTGTAATGGGCCCGTTAACGACTGATTTCCGAACACACACTTCACTTGGTTGCAAGTTGTATCCGTTATCAACCGCAATGTACAGAAGTACTTAGACCTGAGTAAGCCATAAGTCTTTCATCTTATTCCGCTCGAAGCAGTCGTGCACTGCCATCTAGGATGAGCACACCTTTCCTGGTAACATGTTCTGCTTAAACAGTAATTTGACCATTCGCTACTCAAGGTTAAAGAAATTATTCTTCAACTGCTTGTTCCTGGTCATTGGAAGAATGGCTGGCAGTGACTGATCGGGCCAGTGTATAAGTTCCGTAAGTTAGAAACGCATATATTCTCGCATGCCTGTAATTCACTGAGATTTGTTGTCATGTTTTGTCATTTTTTCTTGTAAAAACATCTTAAAAACTTCTTATTTGAAGCCTATGACACACACTAGTTTGTCTCTGGTGGCGTTAATAGCAACGATTAAGTAATTACTAGAGGCAAGACTGCACGCTCAGTTCCATTTGAGGACAGGGAGCTGATCATCATGCAGTTCAGAATAACCAAATAACACCATGTATACACATTCGTCAGTTGAATTAAACTGTCGATGACGTTGTTCACGCAAATGCAAACGCAACCTTCCGGCCCAAATGATCTACGCCGATAAACTATCACAACTTTCACTTCAAGCGAGAAAACAGCATGCCCCAGGAGATGCTCGAACTCTCGACCTCCGCATTATAAGTACGGCGCTCTGACCGACTAAGCTAACGGGGCCTATGTCGTGCTGTTAATACACACAATCATCGCTGGCTTAAGGAATTTTGTTTTGTTTATACACGGTGTGAAGCGTTGAATTTCACACGAGTTTACTGTTCCATTCAGCTAGTTCACCGGTTTATGCTTCGCGTACGGTTGAGTTAGCTACACATAATTCGTTTATTTGACCGATAAATAACGTGATTTTTTCTTCAGGACGCTCATCAAGTTATGATTAGCTGCTTGTTCGAGATTTCGTACACCGCATCTTCATATGGGAGGTCAAGTGCGAGGTTCAAATCAAATACGGTAGAAACGTCCTCTGCTATCTCAAACAAAATCACACCTACCGGCCCCAGTTTTCAAAAGCAGAAGGAAGTCTTTAGTCCCACTCATGTATGTTCCCTCGACCGTTAGTGTATTAACAGAAATACACTTGTTCCTGTCTTCCTAGACTGTCACCGATCTACAGAACTTCAGTGATCGTATGAAAATGTTCGTGGCTGGAGTTAATCAAGAACTGCTTCTTCATCCAACTATTGTGCAGTTCTCAGGTTTTCAAGTAAATCATACACCTCTGTGTAATCGGTCAGCCGCACGATTCTGCTGTGAGCATCGCCAAAGCCAAATTTGGAATATATGTGGTCATCGTTATTAATTTGCGCATTCTATGGACCAGCATCATGCCTAACGGAATTGTATACAGAAAGGACATTACATTCTTGTCAGTGCAAGTCTGCCAATCTTACAAACCAAAGATGACCATAGGGATGGTGTTCACTGACAACGCTTTCGCAGCAGCTACCCGAAGTGATAGCACAGTTCTGTTTTGAAATTGTTGTTGATTCATTTTGAGTGAACCATTCAGTGACGTGCGAAGTTATACTATTTATTTTGTTTCCTAACCAAAATGGAGAAGTCATTCTGCAACCAATCTGTAGTTTGTCAATTTTGAGAACCACTTTCACACTATCATAAAAGTACGTTGAAAAGGTCTGTGAGCAAACTCATATTTTGAAGTTGCTAATCCAGTAGGAAATCCCTGTGTGTTGCTTTTTCAGGGTAAATGCTTCTCTCCATTTCTGATAAAGACCCGATTTATAACCACTTCGGCTTCAAATTAACGATCGATACTCACTGGTTAGTTAGAGGTGAGTGAATACGAAGTCTTCCCCGGAATGCGATGGATTAAGCAAATAATCCAGCAACTGCACCCTTAATTCAGACCTGCTCAACTAAACACCCATTCATGTATGCATACTAAGGCAAACAAAACGGGATCCTACTTGCTCGTTAGAGTGCAATAAACTGCTAGATTGCATGAACATTGATAAGAATTGTTTGTTCATGCCACCAAGCCCACGCGTTCGCACAACCATTACTAAGTGGTCGAATCTTTGTGCAGAATAGTCACAATCGTGTGAATAAGTTCAACCTAAATGGTTCTTTTGAGCGTGAATGGAATTCATGGAAATATCTTTGTTGTCTTACTGCATCCTGAGAGAAAAGATATGTATATATACTTCAGAACTACACGGCACGTAAGGCTTGGGCAACTACTGTTGTTACACTCATCCGCAAGACAGATGATTGAAGGGCATTTGTTTGCTAACAAACGATCATTCTCACTAACATTCTTTGGAATATAAGGTAGCGCAGATTGATGTTCGTGTCTCAAAAGTTTGCATAATATTTCATCAGTTTCCGTTCACTCTATGCTGCTGTCCAATTTTCCACGCTTCACGGAAGTGGTCGTTTTCAAAGGAAAACGGATACAGGTCGGGGTACTCGTCTCAATTCATTAACTCTGCTTTCCCAATTGGACAAGACTTTGGATTGTGCCCCAAATAACACTCTTTCCCAGGGGTTCACGGTGTGTTTTATTCAGGACAAATGTCTGTGGTGGATATATTTCATATCTTAGGTGGTGTGTATTTCAGGGTTGAGGTCCGGTATGATCTTGCGTGTTCTGTACTAAGCTTTACGATGGATCCAGTAAGAAATGCGTCCAAGGATTCTCACTTTTGTTCACTCAGTAGAAATCTTCCTAAGTGTACCTTCAGGCCGGCAGAACTAATGACCCAGTGCTCTTAACACGGCGAAATAATCGAAAGTCTAGATTTAAAAAGTGTACGAGATAATACTAAAGTTGTTTCCAGTGAATTTTAACAATCTCTCAGGTGACCTTATTGCGATGTTGGTCGTTCTGTCTCAGTCACTCTAATGAGGTCCTCTCTCGGCAGGTTTACTTTGCACTCCTGCAGCAAAATCAATACGACTGGTTACTTCACACGACAGCCTCCAATGCAGGATGAAAGCGTCAGTCTCTG